AGTCCCACCTATTTGTTTTACATCTCTAAGAGGATAAGGTTAACCATATCAAAACAGAACAGAACATTTAAAAAAAAATAAAAAAACAATTTAAAGAAATACAGATTTCAAAGCAAGTCCACTGGAGATCTACCTTATCTATCTAGCTTCTTACAAATAGTTGTCCCTAACTTCACCCACTTTCTATACTTACTGCATATTATAGAACTAATCAAATCATTACAGGATGATGGAGTCTTTTTAGGTCCTCAAGTTCCAAATTAGGGAAGACAATACCAACTACCATCGCATCTCTCATTCTCTTTGTGATAGCCGTCCCCAAGATAGAACCTTTGAAATGCTATGAAACACTGATGTTCTCAAAAAATGGCAGACTAAGAATATTCATCATGAATAAACCTACTGTGAAAGAAATGCTTCAGAAAATTCTTTAGGCTAAATAGAAATGATTCCAGTGTAAAATGTGAACTTTTATTAATTTTTTTGGTACTGGGGATCCAACTCACGACTGTGCACTTGCAAGGCAGGCTCTTATGCTGCTGAGCTAAATCCCTAGCCCTTTTTTTTTCTTGGTACTAGGGATCGAACTCATGATCTTGCACTTGCCAGGCAGGTGCATTTGCCACTGAGCTAAATCTCTGGCCTGAACTTTTATTTTTTTAACTTTATTTTATTAGTATATATTTGTCATACATACGGATCATATTCATCATAGAAAATTGTACCTGTACATAATGTGTCTTGAGTTTTCTTTTTGTTCCCTGTACCCTTCCCTGTCTTAGCACTTTTTGCCCTCTCCATTTACAAAAGCTTTGTTTCCATTTTTACCCTTGTAGTCTCTCGATTTTTCCCCCTTCCTTCTCTTTCTCCTCCCACCATCCTTGTTCCCCTTCACATTTGAAGATGTTGTTTCCTATTTCCCAGTTTCTGTCCTCCATTATGTTACTTGTTTATCCTTTGGGTTTCTCACACAAGAGAAATAATGTGATATTTAAACTTGTATGTCTGATTTATTTCACTTAAAATTATGGTATTGAGGTCATCCATTTTCCTTCAAATAAGCTTATCCTGTGGCAGAAAGGGTGAACTTTAGAAATAACTGAAATGATTGTTTTCTTAGCAAATATATTAGCCTATTTTTTGCTAAGTCTTGAAAAATATCTAAGCTTTTAGCTGGGTGTGGTAACACATGCCTGTAATCCCAGCATTCAGGAGGCAGGAGTACTGTTTTAAGTTCGAGACCATCCTGGGCTACAAAGTGAGCTCAAGGCCAACCTGAACTGGATAGTGAGACCCTGTCTAAAAAAAAAGAAAGAAAGAAAATGTATAGGATTTTGAATACAAAAATTAAGACGCTATGTGTAGGAATTTTAAGACCCATTGATGTGTTATAGAAGTATTGTATAATCAGTAAGGATTAAAGGGCATATACAGTCATAAGGGTTCTACATTTTATTTGAAGTGGTAAAACACTACATCTAAGTTGACCAAGAACACCAGGATTAAGGACCACTCTTAATACCTCGGGCGATCATAGAAAACCAATAAAGTGGTGATTAGATGTATCAAAATACAATACTAAGTTGGACTCAGAAAACAGATAAAATAATAGACTAACGTCTAGTCATATCAGTAGTTATATTAAAAATAAATTGTCCCAAATGGCAGATTAGATTAAAATAAAAAGATCAAACTGTATGCTATAGTGTAAATACCCTGTGATATAGATAATTTTAAAAGGATGGAAAAAGTTATGCCAGGTAAACCCTAATCCAGAAAAGGCTAACTGGATTGTATTCCCATTTAACCCGAAGTTATCTTGAGAAAAAGTTACATTTCCAAAGGGAAAGAAATTTTGCCTAATAAAACAGGAATCTGTGTAGTTAAAGTACAAATTGTAAATTTGTACGTGCCTAACACCAAAGGTTCAAAATACGTGAAACAAAATCTGATAGTTGAGTGGAAACATAAATCAGCAGCTATCATTAAGATATTTTAATAGTATTCTGTGAGCCTCACTTCTAGAGGATGGAGAATGTAAATCTCATCTGAACTTGGGCAGGGACAAGGGGAGGCACATCCTCAGTGCAGTGAGAGTTTTCAGTTAAGAAAGAAGGAACTGTGTGTGTATAGGTTAAGATCCTTCTTACATGATGTGGAAGAATGGATGGAAGGTCAGCGTGTCCAAAAGAAATTTGAAGAAAGCATTAAGAGATCAGGTGAAGAATGAGGTTTTAGGCAGGGGATTTAGCTCAGAGGTTTAAGTACTTGCCAAGAATGAGGTTTGGCACATAATAGATGGAATTAGGGGCACAAGACAGGATTGATTATTTATTACATAAAATTAACAGCATCTGTACATGTTGACTTTGTATCTACAAACTTTAAAACATATGTAAGTTAGTTCTTACAGTATTTCTTTGGATTCTTTTTTCCTGAAATAATGTTTTCTGAAAATCTACTTACTTTCCACTTGGTTTCATAATAGATGGAATTAGGGACATGAGACAGAATCTGTAAGGTTCAAAGGACCTTACAGATTAGCAGATGACAAAAATTGGTATGTGAATGAAACATTGTTAGTTTTTCCTTGTCTGTTTTGTTTTCTTAGAACAGTGATGGCAAACCTTTTAGAGACCAAGTGCCCAAACAGCAACCTAAAATCCACTTACTTATGACAAAGTGCCAACATTGCAGTTAAACCTGAATACTGAGATTATAATTTAGAAAAACTCATGCAGTAACATGTTTGTCTTAAAAGAAAAACATAATAACAGAGCTTTCAGTGATACAAACATCTTTTTATTGAAAGGTAAAAGTTTGCATTTAGTGTGCTTTTGCACAATTATTGTGATCTTTGCTGAGAACTGAACCCAGGGCCTCAGGCTCACTAAGTATAGTATGTTCCCTATCATTGAACTACATCCTCAGCCTTGCATGTTTTGTTTTATTTTTTCTCATTAGTATATGTTTGTGGTACATCATGAATATGCCTGTTGTGCAGTTGTATATATATGACACATCTTATTTCTTCTTAATCCACATGTGTTGTGTTGTGCTTTGTGTTTTGTTTTGAGAAAGGATCTCGTTGTATTTCTGGATGGCCTTGAACTCACCATGTAGCCTGGACTGGCCTTAAATTCACTGCAATCCTCCTGCCTCAGCTTCCCACGTGCTAGGATTGCAGTCGTGATTCCCCACATCCAGCTTAGCCACGTTTTTAAATTGACCTTTATATTGTATTCAGTGTTCCTGTCCATGAATTTAATAGCCATTTACTAAGACTGCCACCTAGTCTTGAAGCATAGATTTTTTTTCCCTCCCCATAAAGTTCTTACATATTTCTGTTTGGATTTGCTATTGTGATTAATCTCCCTCTCCCGGACCCTCACCCTCACCCTCACCGGGGGAATGAACTCATGACCTCACACTGGCCAGGCAGGTTCTTATACTGCTGAGCTAAATCTCTGGCCCTATATTACATTTTAAATGATTATTTGTTATATAAAGTTAACAGCATCTGTACATGTTCACTGTGTCTACAAACTTTAAAAACTTATTAAGTTCTTACAGTATTTCTTTGGATTTTTTTTCTGAAATAACGTTTTCTGAAAATAAATCTACTTACTTTTCACTTGTGCTTAACACTTCTGCGGCGGTGGCTGCCTCTGCTTTCCTTCCTTCCCCTCCTTCATTTTTTTCTCCTCTTCTTTCTGCAAATGAGGAACTAGATTCTTAGTTGTTTTTGTTTTTATGTTTTAATTGAGTTTAAAGAGCAGTGTGACCATTAGCTACCTTACTGAACTGCTCAGAGATGGGAAAAGCTGTAAAGTTACACGGAGAGGTCAGCATTGGCCTTCCTACTTCATCTGCTGCTTATGCAACGTAAAGTCATAGTTTCTCATATATACAATAAGGACAGGAACACCTCTATAGAATGATATGTTGAAAGAAGTGTCATAGTATAGCAAAAGGGGTAGACAATTTCTTCTTCTTTTTTTTTTGAGATAGACTCTGGCTAGCCTTGAACCCATTTATGTAACCCAGACTCACCTTGAACTCTCAGGCAGTCCTGCCTCAGCCTCCTGAGTGCTGAGATTACAGGCATGCAACCCCACACGGGGTAGGTGAGATTAATTTGTACCAAATTGATGTACCTGATAAAGCATGGGAAAGAAGAAAATGTTCAAAAGAGACTATAAACTTAAAAGGAATGTTGCACTATTTTCATGAGGCTAATCAGCTGGGGATATTAATCATGTATATACAGTTGAATTTTTTATATAACTGAATTTTAGAAATTCCTGTTTTCCTCTGAATATTCTTTTGTGGTACCCCTTTCATAAAAAATTAAGTGTTTAGGCTTACATGTGTGTCATCTGAATATATTTTTTACAACTTACTACACTCAAATATTGATATGAGAGATATTTCCACTAGATCCTTTTTTAAAGCTTCATAGGGAGGAATCATTTGGATATGCTATTGCTTGTATATGATAAGTTGCTTTGAACTTTCAGTACTGAAACATTGAAAATCTTATCAACAGGGGCTGGGGATTTAGCTCAGCGGCATAAGCGCCTGCTTTGCAAGCAGGCAGTCATGAGTTTGATTCCTGGTGCTGATAAAAACGAAAAAGACAAAAAAAAAAAAAAAAAAAAAGGAAAAGAAAATCTTCTCAACAGGCTTCATTTTTTTTTTAATTTCAAAATGAAAAAATAAAAACAATACAGAATTTCAAAACAGTAATGGAAGATTAACATTGATTAATGCATTGAGTATGCAAAGTAATTGTTCAGAGTACAAGATTTAGGCAAGAGAAAAATGATCAAACAATGAAAGCACAAACCCTTCTTTTTGATGAACTGACATTAGTAGAATTATCTAATATATATATTTTTCCCTTCTTACTTTTCTCCTTTCTCTATGCCGGTCATTCTTTTCCTTTTGAGCAGTTTCTTTCCCTTCCACTTTCACCATATCTATTATACATTTTTGGTAAAAATAAGGAATGCGTCATGAATTTACATGGCATGCTTGTGCAAGGGCCATGCTAATATTCTCTGTATTGTTCCAATTTTAGTATATGTGCTGCCAATGTGAGCAACAGGCTTTATTTTAATATATGACATTGCTGAGTCATAGAACATAGGGCTTCTTGCTTGCCTGGCTGCCCGCCTGCCTGCTTACCCTCCCTCCCTGCTTGTCTCCCTCCCTCCCTTCCTCTCTTCCCTACTCCTTTCTTCATGAGTATTGTGGTATTTTCCCTAGGGTCTTTGCCCTGAGCTACATACCCAGCCTTTTTTATTTTGGGACAGTCTTTCCAAGTTCCCTAGATGGGCTCAAACTTTCAGTCCCTCTATGTCAGCCTCCTCGAGTGCTAGGAGTAGAAGCATGTGCCAGGCAGTTTTAACTTTTAATAGGTAATGCCAAATTATACCAGCTTATTGGCACTTCTGTGTGTGAGTCTGGATGTTCCTCATCTTCACAATAGTGGATATTCTGTTGTGTACCTATTGATTAGTAACTTTTGAGTATATTTGGATTTTCCTCAACAATGTGCTACAGTGTAACGTTAGAATATGGGTTGGAAAGGAGGCTTTAAGTAGACCCATGTATGCAGTACATAGAACTGTTGTACATGGGAAAGACATGGAAAGAATGCCAGTTGTACTTTGCTACCCCTCTTCTGTGTGTACTCATTAGAAGGCATCAAACATGGTCTATTTCTGCATCACTTGAACAATATTCTGAATAGCCTCCCTGTCTGTCATCAGGTCATTAGAGCTAATCTGTCAAGTTCTTTACCCCTTTTACTGTATAAGTAGCTACAGGAAGTCTAGGGTCTCTGTGATGCTTCATCCTTCTGTGGAGGCATTGTGGCAATTCCTGTCTCTAATTAGTAGTTTGCCCCCTCCACTTCTCCTTGTCCATCTTTAATTTTCTAGGATTTAGAGTAGTTACTAGCTTTTGAAAAAATGGTCATTTATTTGCCCTTTATCTAGAATATAAGGTAGACGAGGGGAGAGATTTTGTCATCTTCACAGCTGTATTCCAGCCAGTTCCGCAACATGTTTTCAGAAAATGTTTATGGAAAGGCTGTTTAATAACTGGCGTTGGAAGACAGAAGATGTTGTGTCTTCTATCAAATGAATCACAAAATTAAATTTCATGACCTCTTAGGAAGCCTTAGAAACAATACATGTTCTTAAACTGAGGAATTTATTTTTAATAAATTTCTTATCTACTAATTGAAAGTTAGCATAATCAACATTTTGTATTAACAGGAAGGTTGATTTGTTGAAGTAGGCATAAACTATATTCCTGTCTCTTTTGTTTCTGTTGATAGAATGACTTCATTATTTCACTTAATCTTGTAAAATGCATTTCCACTTCATCCTCATACTATATTTAATACTGTACTGTAGCCAGGCATGGTGGTGCACGCCTGTAATCTCAGCACTTGAAAAGCTGAGGCAGGAGGCCAGCCTGAACTATGTAATGAGAACTTGTCTCAAAACAACATAAAATAAAGCCATATTATATTATCCAGGCTATTCATTTCTGTGGATAATATAATTATGTGGGTACATTTCTTGTTTTTCCCCAACTCTGTGCCCACATCTTTCTGTTTTCCAAAGTAGCTTTTGCTATTCTTTGTATGTTGATAGTTCATAAGCATCCACTATGTTAGTCTGTTTACCATTTAACAATCTATCTGGGTATCAGGTGCAGATTTAGTTGTGTACTGCGCATGTTCTCATTTGTACTTTTCTCCCTTTTCTCTCCTTAGTTCTAGACATGGCAAGACACGTGCCCCTCTATCGGGCTCTGCTGGAATTGCTCCGGGCTATTGCTTCTTGTGCATCCATGGTGCCGCTCTTGTTGCCTCTTTCTACAGAAAATGGTGAAGAGGAAGAAGAACAGTCAGAGTGTCAAACTTCTGTTGGTACATTACTGGCAAAAATGAAGACGTGTGTTGATACCTATACCAACCGTTTAAGGTACTACACTATGGTCCTCTTAATTTTGTCTCTAAAATATTTTTAAAATATAAATGGATTTGGTTTTTCTTTTTCAGTGACAGATAGTATACATGTGTGTGCATTCCTGCACATACAAGCAACGTATGAATGGACATAGAACCCAGATTATACACTTAAGAAACATTTATTCACAGTGGCTTCTCAAACATTTCACTGTGTAATCTTCTAGCTGTAGATCATAGTTTACTTTAAATGTTAACACTCTTTAGGTATCATACAAGTAAATACTAGTTTCACTCCATATTAATGTTAAGAGATACCTTTCAAAGGCAGTAAACATGTTACCGACTTTCTGTTTTTGTTTGTTTGATGGATTGAACCCAGGCCCTCACATGTGATAGGCAAACGTTATACCACTGAGCTACACTTTGAGTTCTGACATTGGTATTACTGCCTCTAATTTCTTACTGTGTACAGCCGTTGTGTTTTACTTGGCTGTTGTGAATATTTATTTTTTGTGTATAATAATTTTACAAGTACATCTTTTAGTGCTTATATAATACTCTGCATCTTAGAATCCTAGAAGCTGAATTGTTGGGTTTGTGGATTATTCCTATTATATTGTAGTGCATGTTATGATTCATGGTATAATCTTTCTTAAGAATCAAAAGACAAAAAAAAAAAAAATTTGAAATATGATCCCAGTACTCAAGCAGCTGAGATAGGAGGAGATTGTCAGTTTTCCTTAAAGATCATCTGACTATTGAGGTAGTTACATTGCCAGTGTATTTCTTTGTCAGTGGTCTTTTGATTCCATTGTTGTTCTTTCTGTTTTGTGTACTGTATTTACTTTGCCTGTTGTCACTTAAATTTTTAAGAATTTACAGTTTAAACTGGACAGATCCAAGGATGGTAGAGAATTGGTAGACGTATAGTTTTTATCAGTGTTTACCTTTGAGGGGAAATATTAATCCTATTTATTGGCTTAATGTGGTGTTACTAACACTATAAAAAGCTACTGAGTGATGACCACGCAGTGAGAATCATAAATTCAAGAGAGATTAATGAAAGGACTATTTTGTAAGAGCTATAAAAAGTTGTAGAGTTAGCCAGGTAGAGTGGTATACCACCCTTTAGTCCCTGCTACTCAGGAGAATTATGTGAGTTCAAGAAGTTGAGCCCATCCTAGGTAATGTAACAACCACCAATCTCAAAAGGTGAAAAAAAACAAAATAAAAGAGCTGTAGGTTCAGACTTCTCTGTTGTTGTCAGAAAAGAAAATAAAAAGGTGTATTCCTTTGGTAGTGAATGTTTTCTTTTTCTTTTTTTCCCCTGTGGTGTAAAAGTGAACAATATTGTGTTTGCTCTCTGTTTTAGCCCCTATTCCCTAATCTTTTTGACTGGTAACCTTGTAAACCAGAGTAGGTTCCTAAAAGAAATGCAGTACTTTAATTGAATTGAATTAGATGGGTTAGAACTAAATGATATTTTCTCTAATTGTCTGCTTGAGAAACTTCTAATTGAACATTCTATTCTCTGTCCTGGCCATCATTTTCTCCTACTCCTGTACCATGAACATGTCGTTTTTGAGCAATCAATTTGATGACATATACAAAGCTTTGAAATTGCTCACGTCTTTTTTAGGGGAAACATTGTCTTGTATATCTGTATCTTTATGTTTTTGTATTTTGGGATGGTTTATAGCCATTTGTAAAATGTTTATTGCTCCTTAACTCAAGATTATTAGATGAAAACTTGCATAATAGTTTGGAATGGTGTTATAATTATAGCCTTGGTCAAAAACAGTATCAGAGGGAAATGTTAGGAGTGTGACAATAAAACCAGTAAAATCAGAATATCTTACTGTATGTATCTACTTAGGCTGTAATTTCTGCACATACAACATAGATTATAAAATAATTGTAGAGTACGCTTAACTGCAGTAAAATTTGGACACATATACTACCTCTTCTGGCAGTTTGCTTTTCTTAATTGATTTCCTGTTTACATTATATATGTAGTATATTGTTTTGAAAAATGTATTTTAACTAGATGTGGGTGGTGGCTTGTGTCTATATTCCCATTACTGTGGGAGGCTGAGGTAGGAGGATCCAAGTTTGACTCAGTGTATTAGCAAGACCTTGTAAAAACTAAAAAACAGCTAAGGATGTAGCCCAGTTTGAGGCCCTCCATTTAATCCCCAGCACTGCAGAAAATAGAAATGAAAAAAAGGAAATCTTGGACTTATATACAAAATGTAGCAATTCACTAGAAAAATTGAATTTCAGAGAGAGACTTGAGTTTCTTTTAGCTGAATCTCTTTTTATTTTTCTATTTGATTTCCTGGAGAAAATTATTCTTCAAATTCTTATTTCAATCAGAAAAAAGAAATTTGTATCTTAGACTTGAAAATTATGTTCTCCCCCCCCCCAAAAAAACACAGTGAAGATAATAGTGTAATAGTGTTTACAGGTCTTGTTTCATTTATGTTATATTTACAGTGACTCTGTTTCACTAATAGAGAGATACTATTACTGTGTTTTATGTTGAGACTTGTATGTGCTTAATTGTTATACCCCATAGTCTCCTATATGCAATCTCTGTTAAAACTAGTAGAGGCATACACATAACACATCCCTGCAGTTTTTAAGGATTTTACATATTGAGAATTCATAGTTATATACAGTGGTTTTCATGGAAGGTATTTGTATATGTTACATTTAGAATTTTCATGATTTTTTCAGGTATAAAGGAAACTTTCTGTTTCTAGTTGGAATAGCCTAATTGTGAGATGAGCCTATTTTGACATGCATGCCTAAACCCTAATTTGATATAATAATTGAAAAAATGATGGAGATTCTGTTGGTTAGTATGCTCTCAAGTCTGAAACTTTTGTATAAGAAAAGATGGAAAAGTATTATTAAGAAGCTGAAAACCATTTACCTGACGTTTATCTAATTTGTACATTAGAAAATGTGTGATTATATTGATGTAGGTGAGTTCGGCCCCACTCAGCAGAGTATTGTAGGTTCATCACTGAACAGATGTTTATTGTTTGCTTATGGGAGCATATTAAGAAAATTGTATGTCAGCCCTCTTTCTAAAGGGCTGACATATAAATTGCAGCAGACATATAAATTGCAGTGATAATCACGCACTTTTAATAACATACATGACTCATTTGGAGAAATACAAGACACAACAGAAGAACTAGCCCAGCTTTGGAATCCTAAAGGGTAAGTGGGAATTAGTTGAGTGATGAAGGGCAGTGTTATTTGTGTCACAGACTGTGGAAGCAATGTTAGCAGTGAAAGAAAGCATCACACGCTCAGACAACCTGTGAAAGTTTGGTGTGCCCGAGATGTAGCACAGGTGGGAGATGAAGCTAGAGAAGAAAACTAGGGACTAGAAGATGAAGAGGGATCACAGATGCACTTTTAAAAGTAGAGATGGGCCACTGAAAGGTTTCAGCAGAGATCTGATCCAACTTGTCCTATGATAGTGTCACATTATAGTTGAATGACTAATAAAGAAGTAGGACGAGTCTAAACTGCCATGACAGTGAAAGAAAGAGATTTTCATTGTGTCTCAGAAGTTACAGCTATATGTCCTCTCTCTATCCTGCTATTTCTAGGGACCTACCGTTTGGTGTTCTTTAGCATTCTTGCTTGTACATTGTGGACTTATAGGAAATTAATTCCTATGTAAAAATCTATGTTCAGATGTTTGTCTTTGAAAAACAGTCACATAACTCAGGCTTTTAAGTCATTCGAGAGCTCCTTCAATAGAGTTCAAGTGCTATAACATATATGGTTGTGGGAACATAGCTGTCTTTGTTCACACACAAGAATCTGAACTCTCTAATCCCAGGTAGGAGTGTTCCAAAACCAATCCTATTACTAGGTGGTTTGATGGACCTAGTTAGACAGAAGCTACAATATCTTAACTGGGTAGAAGTCCAATTGTTTGTAGGGAATGTTAATTCTTTTTTTGGTAAAGTCTTTGGCTTTAAGATCCAGGAATAACAGAGTGGGGCTCTGTACATGTTCACATGTTATTCTATTTCCTGAAAGCTGTCATTCCAGCTGAAATTATAAAAAATGTTCAGCAGCCAAGAGATTTTAAAATATAGTTTCTATGATGCATGGTGTATATGTTATTTAGGGATTTATCCAAAAGTGAGAATATGTGAGAGTGAGTTCTTACTACTTTGATCAAGCAGATAGTTTTATGATTGAAAACTGAGTAATATTTTTTTTAAGGTCTACTGACCTTTTTAAAAAAGCGTGAATTTTACTTAAAGAAACTTTAAATTATTATTGTATCAGGAGAACCATTTGCCATAAATAGTATAAAATGTATGAAGTCTTCAATGAAAATAAAATAATGTGTACTTACTTGCCCTCAAAATAAATATTTTAACTCCCATTCTCAAAAAAAGCACAATCAAGGAGCAGTCATTTCAATCATTTGTTTGAAAAGTGAAAAATAGAATCCATGCCCACCAACACAGGATTACTATTTTACTTATTTATTTATTTAAGTTAAATCATGATTTTATTGCTTGAGTTCATAAACAAAATGCCACCAGGATGGAGGCTGTGGATGACTCTTCCTGCTGGGGAGGACCTGCTTGGTTCTATAATATCAAGTTGATGGTGAATCTGGCTCGATGAAGGTCAGAGAGAACTTGTCTTCCTGATCCTTTCTGTTCCTCTCAAGATGGAACAACAGCTGCTTTCTTTTTGTTTTTTCTTTCAGTACCAGGAATCAACCTTGTGCTTGCCAGGCAGGCACTGTGCCACTGAACTATGTCCCCGGCCTCAGCAACTACTTTCTTAGTTAAGTGATAGAGATCCTCAGGGAGATCAGGAGTGAGTCCTTTAGGCTTTAGGATTCTCCAGATTATAGTACCTGTCACAAAATGTATTTGTGCAACACCATGAGAGCCTCTTGTGGTCACACTGATATGTGAGGGAGTTAGGCCCTTCTTGGCCAGTTTGTAAACCTGCGCCTTG